CCGGAACAGGTTGGATTCAGGAGAAACAAGTCATGCGTCGATCGAATCGCAACACTACGGACCACCACTGAACAGAGCTTGGAATGGCAATCAGCTCTCTACCTCACTCAACTTCATCGACTTTGAAAAGGCCTTCGACAGCGTCGATCAAGAGGTGATTTGGTGACTACTTCGCTACTACGGGGTGCCACCACACAGTTATGCGATAATGCTGCATGCCAAGTAATCCACGAAGGGAAACTCACGGAATCCTTCGAAGTGAAGACGGGAGTAAGACAAGCTGGGTGCTTACTATGTCCAATGATTTTCCTGATTGCGGTAGACTGAATAATGCGACAGACAGACAGTGGGTAACGAGGAAACAGGCATAAAATAAACCCACACAAAAAAGAACTTGGAGGATGTGGATTTCGCCGATGATATATGTCTGATTTCCCACAAACTGGGAGAAATGCAAATGAAAAGCAACAAGTTGGCAGAAGAAGCATCAGAGATAGGAGCGACTTCAGGTAAACATAGAGAAAAGTTATGAAACTATGCCGTCGTTAACTCCACAGTTAGCAAAAGAGTTATGAGGCTGATTTCCCTGGAAGCAACGAGTATGAATCACGCTATATGGTAGAATTGGAGCCAGCGAAATTGCGCATAGTCCAAAAAAAGAAAGAAATGGAATTAGAAAGATTACGACAAGGTAGCCGTGAATGTTCTTGTCACAATAAATCGCCTTACAAACCTTCTACTTCTCATAAAGTCTCTGTATCTCTTAACGATGAGTTCGCCAGAGGCATATCTAAGTTTCTGGACATGCTTAAAAGATATCAGTATTTTAAGATGGATGCCGATGAACTTGAGTGTTGGGTCAATGAAAAACTGCAAACATATGCGAATGAGGATTTTAAAGAACTCAGTAGTCATCAGCTGAAAAAACAGAAACATCAAGAATTTGAGTTCGAAGTAACAGTTCATGCTGAAACACTGTCAGCTCTGGATTCTGCGGGAGAAGAAATGATTGGTCAGGGGCACTACGCAACAGATATTATCAAAAACCGTCTTGATGAATTGCGTGCCCTGTGGGAAAGGCTTATGGCTATTACTACTAGAATACTGTCCATTTATTATTAGCAGCACTCACACACGTGAAAAGCTAAGAATTGAAAGTATCCAACGATATTTTACCTCGAAACTACTAGGCTACGAATGCAAGAAAGACTACATCTCACAGTGCATAATTCTACAACTTGACCCACTCTGGACGAGACGACTAATTATGAACCTAGTATTCTTCTATAAGGTCCTACACAAAATATCATTCTCGGACATTAAGGACATACAATTCGCACAAGAAGGCTCTTACGATCTGCGTAACCAAACTTGCACAGTGACAATAAAAGCCTTTAAGTTAACACTCCGCGAAAACTTCTTCACAGTCATGTATTCTAAAATATGGAACAATCTGCCCCTAGATATCAGGAACTGCAATACAGTTTTAAGTTTCAAACGCTCTCTGTACACACTATTTCACTCTACCGACTATATAAATAAACTATTTATTCCTAGAACGAATCAACTATTAGTCTACTACAGTACCTAAACGCGCTTAAATACCCTTACTTCTCTAAAGACTATAAATAAACTAGTAGCATAAATGCATAAAAAGACATAGTAGAAACAAATTTTTGTTCATCAAATTACAATGTACAACGAATATAAACAAATATTCTCGAATCCACGTACTTTTTCTTTGTCCTCTGGTACATTTCTGTTGTATTTACTTTGTAGTACAAGTTGCAATGATCTACATTCCGAATGAAGCTGAAAAACAATTGAAGTCACTTACTCATATATTATCCCTCAAGGTTTGGCTAGTAATGGCTCACCATCCTTGATGAAATCCACTGTCACCATAACTAGACGCTGTACAGCATTTTATACAAGCACTGTCAACGATCTAAGATGGTTTTTATATAGCTTTCTACGTGCTTATCAACTTACTCGTTCGGAGCAACCATGCTGTGACAAATGGCCGGCTATGGGTGACTACACTGCAGTAAAACAAATCTGCTTGAAATTGACCAATATTAATCTGCATTCAGTTGAATTCACATCTGGTATTACTTGCAAAAAAATGATGTCAAAATCATAAAAATTAATCACTCATTTAAAATTAATACCCAATTTGAACATAAAACAAGATACGATGCCGCACACAACAAAGTTATATGGAGGAATTGACTTCAAGCTTTATTTTTTTCCCAAATATTTGTAATTTATCCGACACATACTTGGGTTTTTTTGTTAATGTGAAGACAATATTTCTATATTCCTTTATGTGCTCCATTGAACGATTAACTATCAGAATGTGCTCACTAACTGATGTCAGAGAGGAGAGCAACCATGCAATTTCACTATAAATCAAATTCATGTAATTTAAATAATACTTATCCATGCCTGTACAACTGGTGTGTCCTACATTGATAGGAAATATATATTATTATTTTCAGAGAAAAATCACGTCCTATTAACCTAACGCTTAAATTTGTCCAGTTTTTACGCCAAGTCGACGAGATACTTTTCTGGATACGTGAAAAAGAAACTTACGTAACATCAGAGGATTTAGATCAAGACTTGGAACATGCTGAGACACTTCAAAAAGGGTTAATTGAGTTTAAAAAAGATCTCGAGAATCAAGAAAGTCGTGCAGAAGACATCTATCGGAAGGCAGATGAACTTCTAAAAGAGGAATTTCCTGAGGATGCCATAGTCATAGAAAAGTCCAGAGAGGTCCGCGAAGCTCTAGAACGTCTGAAGGATCTGGGTAGAAAACGACAAGGAAAGCCCCTGGAAACCTATGAGATACAGCGCTTCTTTAGAGACATAGATAGAACTATATCGTGGGTGAATGAAAGTCCATTATTCCTTTATCCATTGAGGACTGTGGTCGTGATCTTGCCTCAGTCCAAGCCTTATAAAGGAAGCACGCAGCATTAGAAAGGGATTTGACTGCCACAGATAAAAAGATTGTTCAACTTGGAGATGATGCTAAGGCGCTTGCACAGAAGCATCCTGATTCGTTAGACGCTATACAAGGCAAGTATGACGCCTTAATCACTGCATGGGATAAGCTGAAAAGTCAGGCTGTAGGTAGGAGAGGTAAACTGGAAGAGTCATTCAAGATGCATCGCTTTTTGGCTGACTGGAGAGACTTGAGCATCTGGATGAATGACATGAAGACGTCAATATCGGCGGATGATTTGGCAAGGGATGTAGCTGGTGGTGAAGCCCAAGTAGAGCGACATAAGGAATACACCGCTGAAATAAATTCTCGAGCTGACAGTTTCGCTACATGCATGCAAGAAGGTCAGGCATTACAAAGAGTTGGCCATCCCTGTAGTGGAGACATAGCTGCTAAACTTTCCACCCTTGAAAGAGAGAGAGCCTCCCTGAAGCAGCTGTGTGAGGAAAGACGTGAACAGTGTATGGGCCTTCAGTGTTTTTACCGCGACGCTGAACAGTCGGAATCTTGGATTGGTAAGCAAAAGGCCCTCCTAGAAATAAAAGATGTGGGAGACTCACTCGATTCTGTGGAAGCACTCATAAGGAAACATGAAGACTTTGAAAGGTCACTTTTAGCACAAGAAGAAAAGATGCGACAACCTGATGAATTCGCTGCAAAATTAATCGAATCAAACCACTATGCGGCTGCACAGGTTCATGAGGTTCAGGAAGGTCTTCAAAGTAGACGAAATGCATTAAAGGAGAAAGCTCAGAACAGCCGTCAGCATCTGCAAGATTCCCACCGTTACCAAATGTTCGATAGAGATGCAGATGAAATGCATCCATGGATATCAGGAAAACTTAGAAATGCACTTGATGAAAGTTACAAAGACTCCACGAATTTGCAAACAAAGGTGCAGAAGCATCAGAATTTCGAGGCAGAAATACAAGTGAACCAATCCCGCTTTGAAGGTATTAAAAAGACAGGTCATGATTTGTTAAATGAAAACCACTACAACTCACCAGAAATAAAAGTAAAGATTGAACAGTTGGATGAAACTTGGTCTCATCTCATAAATGCCATGGGAGACAAGAAGAAAAATTTAGATCAAGCAAGTAGGCAACAACAGTTCGCTCGCAACATAGAAGATGTCGAGTTATGGTTGAATGATGTTGAAGCTCAGATAGCTTCAGAGGATGTCGGTCGTGATCTAAACGGTGTGATGAACGTACAAAAGCGGCACAACTTGCTTGAATCTGATGTAGCTACTCATCGTGAAGGTATAGATGCATTCAAAGTCCAGGCTGACACGTTTGCTGCAGAAGGTCATTTCGACGCTCCTATTATCCAAGTAAAACAAAGACAGTTAGCCCAACGTTACCATGACCTGCAAAACCCTCTAAGTCAACGTCGTGAGAAGTTAAGAGATGCCCTTCCCTCGGACACATCTTTGCAGCTTGAATATGGTGACTATGGTGAGTTGATGAAGTTACCAGTCGATTGCTGTATAGATTTCAAAGCACATTCGCTTAACCAAATCGAATCAGAAATGTGGCATCAGTTTGCTGAAAGCTTCACTACTGGCTCAGTAGCCACTCACAAAGATGCCTTCAGGTTATGGGTTAAAGATAAGAACCCTGTTGTTGAAAACTACATTGGTTTTATAGCGTCATACCGTGATCCCTTTGCGTTCGTGCAAAGTTTGAATCATTTATCGCTGTTGTAAATAGGTCAGTGTCTAAAAAATTCCCACGACTTGTAAATAATGCTGAAAGGTTGTTAACAAATTTACCATGGCCTTCTACGTTTGAAAAAGTTAATTTCTTACAGCCAGACTTTACTAGTTTGGACGTTTGTAACTGCTGGAAATCCTGTTGGAACTAATATTCCTAACTATGATGATGTACGACAAGTTGATGGATTTAAAAATGCTTCTTTGGATGATGTACTTAGTGTTCGTCTCGAGGATCCTAAACCAGAATTTCTACGTAATGAAGACAAACAAATGTACGTGGAACATGCTGAAAGTTCCTTTGAATTACAAGTTGGACTTCATGAACTGATGGGATATGGTTCAGGTAAACCGTTTCGGCGTGATTGTTATGGAAAACGAAATTTCCACACGAAAACTACTGAATATGTCATAAATGCAGATCCCGTAAAAGGTTGGTGTGAAGCAGGAGAAACGTATGACACCAAGTTTTCAAACCTTTCATCTGCAATAAACAAGTGTCAAGCTGAGTGCGTTGGAATTAATTTATCTGATTTACCTCTTGTTCTGGAGCAGTTCGGTTTGAATACCAACTGTGCTCAAGGCGATGTCCCGGATGCAGTCTATATTAATTGGTTGTCAATGATTCCTTCAGTTGTAACTTCCATGGAGTTTTATTCTCCAGCAGAAAATGCTAATGACATTGGATCATGGTGTCAAGCACATGATTGTGCTTGTTATGCGATTCTGCGAGTTTTGATTGAAGCTGACAATTCTATGGGACGTGCACATAAAGTAGTCGGTGAGGACGATGCATCTGATTTGTGTATTTCCTTGGATCCAAGAAGACCTTTAACTGTGGCTCGTGCAGCAATTGGTGAATTCTTAGGAAAATTACAATATTACAAAGGTAAAGCGAATGCTATAGATGGATGTGCTTTCTTCCCACACCATAGTCAACTACCTTCAAAATATTTGACTGATTTGTTCTGGCATAGATGGCTACGTGGATATCTTCTGATGCTGCAAACAAGATCTAAGTGGTTGGATATGAAGCGTAACCCACAACCTGGTGATCTCGTCCTAGTTAACAGTGCTGACACACAGAGAGGTCCCTGGCCAAAGACTATAGTTGAGCAGATGTACTATGACCAAGATGGCCGCGTCAAGACGGTGCAGGTGAAAACTGCAACTCAAGAAGTTGAACGAGATATGAGAAGCTTATGTTTGTTGGAAGAAGCAGACGACTTTGAGGTTCCAGGTACGAGAAGTCAACGTGGTGATCGTTGGCGGGGAGTGTTAATCGCGACAGATAGATAGACTATATGATAGACAGCTAATCAATATGATGTGACCTTCTTGTCGCGATTATTGGTCAATTTAGTGTAACTGTCACCACTTGATGACCTTGAATGTTGTTTGTTGTCTGTCACTCTATTTGTGTGTACATGTAATTACTTAACTGTTCATTTTGTCCATACCTTCAATACTGTTCGGTACGTTTTTGTCCTTTTTTGAATGACAGTGGATTTGTACATTTTTCTTGGTGTAATTGTATGATTTATTTATGTTCTAGAAACAGATAAAGTTTAAGTCAAGTCATTCTGTTTTAACTATAGTTAAGCCCAGACTCTGTGTCGTCAGTATTGAGGAAGGACTAAATCTGTAGGACAAAAATAATCCTACACTGTGTGTAAACTAATAAATCTGCTGTTGATGTAATAATACTCCTTTATAAGTTTAACTGGACACTGACTGCTTTAGGAAGCCACTCGAAGGAAATAATGATAATTCGTATTTCGTATAAACGGGTAAATTGACATAAAATGCACGCCATCTTACTTGCGCGATGAAACATTGTACAGATTACAACAGAGGAATACCGATAAATTGGTGCTTTTTTGAAAGTTTGAGAGGTCGTTCAGGGAATAAGAACAGGTCTGTTTATATGTTACATTGTTGACCCTCACGAAGGTCACCATCAAGTTTGAGCAGCAACACAAACTTCTTTCAGCTTCTCACTAACAGTTTCGTCAGGCAGCGGACAGCCTATATTTGGGTAAGTGCTATGTCGCCACATGATTAAAAGCTATTTCAGGAAGAGAAGCATTGCAATTGCTGAGCTTTTTTCCAAATTACTTATATTCTCTGCATGCATTAGCACGCAACCACACAATAGGGTGGGAGAGGGTTAAAATTCTAAAATGTAATCTAGGTAGGTGGAGAGAGAGGTTGATTACTGAATCCTTGGTCATCGAATCTACACCCAACACATGCAATAAGAATGATTCATCACTCATACCCGAAATATGGAAAATATTACCACCAATCAAATCAAGTGAAAATCAAGCGAAAAACAACGGAACTATATAAATGAATTTTGGAAGTCGTGTGATTACCTTGATATGATTATGAGCAATAAATTGTGCTCGAAACGTCATCAGTAAACATTACTGTATAACACTGTGAGACTCTATCAAAACAAAATTTACCCACAATGGAATTACACTCTACCGCAGTGCACAAGTTTTATTCTTATATCAGTGATACCGATATCACATGCTAAATATTTCATACTTGTACCAAAATACTGTAGCTAAAATAAAATTTAAAAATGTGTATACTTTGCATGATCACGGCAACACTTCACGGCGCGTATCAAATCTCAGAACTAACAAGTCCCGTAAACATCTGGATATTCATCCACATGTTGATCATGCTGGCAAATCCAAATCACCACATATTATTATATTATTATTGTTTCCTTTAATTCCTAGAGGAACATTGGGCTTCAGTCGAATGACTGCGTTTGGTTCTCTGCCAACGTCTTCACCTGGCTCCACCTCTGCCCATATGCTTTCATCTCTTCTTCACATGACCTCCCCCCCAATGTCACACTCACCCGCTTCACATTCGGGTTCCACTCGAGCAGTGGTCTGGCGTGTGATGTCACTTGATGGTTTTCTTAGAGTATGGCCAACCCATCTGCACTTCTTCCTGCATATTTGTTGCACAATCGGTTCATCCTGGATTGGCTCGCTCATTGACAGAGATCCCACCCTGTTGCTGATCTTTTCCGACCGGCCACCTGATCTCGAGAAGTATTGAGCGAAGACGGATGTTGATGATGGTCCGTAGTTTTTTCGAAGCGCCCTCCGTGAAGCGGCGCAATGGGGCGCGGCGCCAAGTCTCTCATCCGTATGGTAAGTAGCACTGACTTGACACCGGAGTTGAAAATCCAGATCTTATTTTTCATGCTGAGTGCAATGGATTTCCACACAGACTTGGAGTAAATGAAAGCTTGCCCTGCTTTCCCGATCCTTGCTTTGATATCCTCACCAGTTCCGTTCGCCTGTACTTGAAACGATGCTTCCCAGTTAGGCGGGTAAAGGAGATTGCTATTGTTCTTGCTGGTGCTGTTGCTGTCGGCCGGGAATCTTCATCGTCTACTTCTGTTTTCTGTTTGTTCACCTGGAATCCTATCTTCCCTGGATGCTTCTTCTGCCAACTTGTTGCTTCTCACTTGCATATCTTCCAGTTTGTGGGAAATCAGATATGTATCATCAGTGAAGTCTAGATCCTCCAAGTTCTTTTTTGTGTGGGCCCATTTTATGCCTGTCTCCTAGTCGTCCGCTCTCTGTCTGTCGCATTATCCAGTCTACAGCAATCAGGAAAATCATTGGCGATAGTAGGTAGCCAGACTTGTCTTACTCCTGTCTTCACTTTGGAGGATTCCTTGAGTTTCCCGCTGTGGATTATTTGGCATGCAACATTGCCGTACAACTGTTGGATGAGATGTATAACTGTGTGGTGGCACCCCGTAGTAGCAAAGAAGTTTCCAAATCACCTCTCGATCGACTCTGCGCTATCGAAGGCCTTTTCAAAGCCAACGAAGTTGCGATATCGAGCTGACTGCCATTCCAAGCTCTGTTCAATGACGAGACGTGTTGTCGCGATCTGATAGATGAATGACTTGTTTCTCCTGAATGCAACCTGTTCCGGTCGGAGTTTTCCATCCAGGGCTTGTTTGATTTTCTCCAGGATGATGCGGCTTAGTATTTTGCTTGGGATAACCAGGAGCATAATTCCGCGCCAGTTCTTGCACTGACTTAAGTTTCCTTTCTTCAACAGTTCGAATAGGTATCCAATTCCTGTTTGCAGGTTCCTTGCCCTCTTTCCCCACCTTCTTCAGTAGTGGTGTCATCAAGTCCGCTGGTGTCTCTGGGTCCCTATCCAATGCCTCTGTTGAGATTCCTTCTGGCCCTGCTACTTTTGCAATTTTTAGCATCTTCATTGCCTTCAGGATTTCTGTTCTCGTCGGAGGTTTGATGTCCACTGATAGTTCTGCTTCCAATGTCGGTATTATTGAGCGCGTTGTAACTGGCGGTCGAGTTTGGAATTCGCCCGTCATTGTATCAGAGCCTTTGTTGCCGTTGTTGACATCATAACAGCCACACTCTCGCTGTGCTCGTGGTTGTCTTCTGGGTGTTCGGAGTATATCATCGACTCTCCCGTTGACAATTTGGTGAGTCCACTACCATTCCATCTGCTTTCGCATATTCCCAACACTTGAATAGCATATTTTTTTATCTCGTTTGCATTCTGGGTAGTTTTCCCAGTCTCATACACGGTGTTGACGATCCATGTCCCCACACACTTTGTTTTTCGCCGCAAGGAGACTCATAGTACAGAAGTTTCTATAGCAACTTTGTTTACAGGGTGGGGTTGCTAGCCTGACGCTGGAGAAGGGAGTTATTTCACAGAGATGTACGCTACAGAGAAGCGATTTTTAAGTTGCTCTATTCAGAACCAGGAAAATAAGAAATAAACCGATCAGAACGGCAACAACATCAAAAATACCACAACAGAAAAAGCAGCGTCAACAACAAAAACCGTAGGAAAAATATCACTGTCAGAATTATCAAAAATGACATGTTAACCATAGACTCACTGAATTTGGCCGACTCGGGCATGTAAACGCAATAATGTAAGCAACCAGGGATACTAGTTAGTGTTAAACAGTCAAAATATGGCAAACCGTTATTTATAGTTACTAACAGTCAGCAAGATTATATCCACAGAATCACTGTTTTAAGGTAAATGGATAACAAGAATGTCTCATTTCTCCGGTGTTTCTGACCAGGAAGTTGTAGAATTTAGTGTAACCAAGACAAGTTAATATATTGGACAACAATTGTTGTACATAGCACATTTCACATGTGGAGCATTTAAACTAGACGTAACTTGAGATGAAGGTGAGTGGGTCACGGTGTTAATTCGTCATCGTAACGCATTGGCTGCATATTTTTTCGAAGTACTAAAATGATTTCTAAATTGTTGGTATTCAGATATTTCTTGTTGGAGCAACTCATTTATCTGAAACTGTTTGTTACCACTGGATTTAACTACTATGTTCATAGAAATCATTCTTTGCTGGCGTGGCATTTGGTCTAGATCGGCTTCGTTGACCAAGTTGAACTTTAAGCACCAGTAAGTGCCAAATGACCTTAAAACGCACAGCATGCAAGTTAGTGGAACCTGCAGGGAAAAAGTGGGACAAAAAAATTTTGCCGGACATGGGCGAATGGTAAAAGTGGGCAGTATGGGCAAAGTGGGTAAAATCGGTTGCATTTACACCATCTTTCGCCCACCTGTTTGTCGATCAAAATTACCCATTTATCCCACGTTTCGGCCACTTTGCCCAGGTGCATTAACCGACTGGGTGGCAAATAACATTGTTATCATGCATATAATATGTTTAATGAAGTGTTATGTTATGAAGTGGGATATCCGGCAGGTTTCAGGTTAGGTTTAGGAAAGATTAAGTTGGGGTTTAGGCTGAAGAGAGGTTATGGTTAGGCTGACATAATGAAGACGACATTAGGGTTGAGTTAAAGGAAGACTAAGGTTATTATTAAGGTTAGAAGACTTAAATAATTACATGCGTATTATGTAATTAAATAACTCTGTTGGTGCTCCAATACAAAACTGACGTGTTTTTTGTCATATTAGGGGAAGGTATCCTGTGTAACAGTGTCATGCCTTTCAATTCATTACTGTCAACAATATTTGTATTTTATACGGAAAAGTTGCCTTTGTCATGTGGTTGGTGCGTTCAAGGTCATTACTCCGTTGATACTTACTAGTGCTTAAATTGTAACTTTGCTGTTAGGAGTAGGTTAAGGTATAGTCAGAAATATCAACGTATCTGAAATTACAATGATCCACAGTCGCCTGAGTCAGTACATCTAATACACACGGCATGCTTTCTCTATTGGTTAACCTTGAGGTAACAGGGAGACACTCTTAAAATACAAGAGACAATTATTCAGTGTAATATATTTACAATGGTTTTTAATGCATTTTGCAACGATGAAAAACTTCATGCCCATTGCATTACTTCTCTAATAAGTACCTATCCTAATCCCTCGTTGATCTAGTCGATTGAGAGTGTAGAAATCACTTATCTGCAAGTTCCAAAGGTCAGTGATTAGATAGGAGAGGTAGTATTCCGTAGCGACATAGTATCTCCTTGGCTTTTGAGCTGTCCTCCTGTGGCGAAATTCCCTGGTGATTGATTGAACCTGACATTTGGAAATTCTACAATTTATCTAAAATACTGTCTGGAATAAAGCCATTACTACTATTATTATCATCATCGAGAGAAGACCGAGCACATTACTTTTGATGCACACCTACGTAACCTTGTCCAGGAAAAGAGTTGTGAGTTGTTCCTGACTCTCTGTCTTCTGCCCATGAGAAATTTCTTGGTTCAGTAATGCAGACCGCCAGTGATTCCGGTTTCACCAGCAGTATTGTGTCAGGCACCTTGTTATATCGATATCACATGCTGAAAATTGCATACTTGTACCAAAAATACGGTGTGGAATCAAGCTATAATTAAAATAAAAATAAATAAAGGCGATGTCGAATTGTATGATAACGACATCGTTGGGTTTCTAGTTTTCCGTAGACTAGACCAAGCCTTCCTTTGCTGTAAGATGTGCCAAGCATGAAAGGTTTTGCTGAAAACCGAGCCATGCACTGGATAACAATTTATTGCTCTCCAAATATGTGATAGTTTTCTTTCTGTTGTCTTAATCGAAGAGTAATAGGCACCTAGTTTGTCGTTGAGTGCCTAGTTTTCGCCTTGTGTTATGGGTATACTATTGCATAATTCCAGTTACGTGGTAACATTCAATGTTAGAGAGATAAGTTAGAGGTAAAAGTCAAACAGCAAGCTGTGTGAACTGCCATTTCGTTGAAAACCCTCGGACAAAAATCACCAGGCCCCATTCATCTATGTGCTCGGGGATGTAAATAAGATGTTTTTGTCGATGTCGAAAAAATATCCTGTATCTTTGTATCGAGGCCAGGATTAGTGATGCTAATAGTGGCAACACATGTGTGATAACCCTGAAGAAGTGGTCTACCATTGCTCCAACTTTCTCCGATGCTCTTTGGACGTGTTTGTGTCAGTAATCGCGTTCGAAACTTAGTTGGGCGTCCTATCCCTGAGGTTTGTATGTGGAAACAGTTTCTTCGGTAGTACCAGTGTTTTGAGTTAAATATATCCGCAGTTTCATCTGTGACTGAAGTATTCATGCAATAGCTTCATTTCTGACCACGGCGAATGGCTTCCTAACTTCAAAGGTTTGAAGCGTAATAAACATTTTTCCGCACTTGTGTTTGCATCCAAGTAGTCTGTGAATCCATGAGGGTGGGGGAAGTATTTTGGGAGAACTCATGTGATGTGTGGTTCGCTTGTCTAGGCGTACAGTTTCCTCAGTTAACTCCATACAGTTCCCAGGTGAGCCTCCGGACTCATAATCTAGTTCTCTGGAGGAAATGCAGAAAGGGTGGTATTTATTATTTAATTCAATTTGAACTTTCCCGTTGATTGATTGGACGAAAGTTCTCAGTCTCAGGTTGACATGTCGGCTCCAAGCGCTGATGCTTCGACGATGTCCTGTCATTTTACTTGGAGTAAATTGGTGGATGGTGATAAGCAGGGGACGCGTATTTCGTCCCATCTGAGACTCATCATTTGGATGCACCTGCATTCCCCAGTGACTGGTGGTGTTCACACTGAGGCTGGAACCCAGTATCCATAGTTCCAAATGCCGGAGCGTTATCCACTAAACCACTTGTGACCCAAGTCACCATCCACCAACTTACTGTTGGTATTTTGCTTTCACACACACATGTGGTTGTTTAGGGTTGGTGAAATCACTGAATATACGTTATCGATACTTTAACGTCCTTGAACCTATTTGCTCTATAAAAATGTCTTCTGATGTGCTATTGGGACTACTGCATGTCGCAATGAAATCGAAATCTTTTCCCGTGTATTTTACCCTAGCGTCAAAGTTCAGATGATCCACCTTCGTGTGCTAGTTTCTGTGCAACAAAAAGTTAAACTCTTCTGAAGTCAGATGACCACTGCAACGGCCCAGCGATATACTCGATGTGCTCTAATCACTCTGAAGTCTTAAAGAATAATTTCATTGTCACGGGTTTCGGGTACTGGACATGATTACTTAATGATGTTAACATCCGGGTTTTTCGACGCAAACACACTACTTAAGTCTGTACATTTATTCAACAGACTGCGGGTTTGGGAAAATTTCCCACCATTTTTGGTCATAATAGCTAGCAACAACAACCACTTGCATTTACATTCATTTGGCAGTGGACATTGTTAGTGATATCGACTGGTTGTCTGAGCCCCACAGATGGAGTTTTATTGAAACCCAATGGTTAAAAATTCAGTGCATAAACCAGTCAGTCATAGCTCCCTAAGGGATTTAAATCAAGAAATATTCAATGTTTTTATTCTAAATGTGTTTAAGAGTGGTGGTGATGAGCTGTTTGCTGGGTTAATCAAGGTTGTAGTATATTAAATTTCGAGGTAGTTGCACAAGTTTAGTAGACAGAAATACAATCTTGCTAGAATGTATAACTGTTTGTCGTGGCCTACTTACTACATAACTGTTTCGGTCGTCGAATTAAGCGGTTGACTTTCAACAAGTGGACCTTCTTCTACCTATTGTCGTTTGGACAGCCAGACACTGTCTTCAGAAATCAAATAGTGGTTCACTAATTGTGAAACACATGCTGAAGTCCCATAAACATATGAAGACAGAGTCAGTTCTGTTTTGACTTATCTATCTTTCCTGAGCAAATTTTTCGTTGTATGATGTTTTGGATATCTCAAAAATACTTTTTAATTCTGTTTACGGTTTATACTTCACCTGTGAAAGTACTTTCATCTGATAGCTGTCTCCTAATGTATTGGTTTATGTTTTGCACTTTAGTAGTCAGTCGAGAGCTGCTGTCATCCTCGCCTACACTAGGTTTATCTCTCCGGAAATATCCCAGGTGCCAGCAATTATTTAGCACTGAGTATGTTGGAAATTAATTGAGATAATAGGAATAATACAGTGCCTGTTGAAATGTGTACAGAGTTGAAATTGCCTGGAAGAATAACGAATAGAAGTAAAATATTAGGACTGTGCTCAGTTATTACATATCCAATAACCAAAGCAATTTTGACTTAATTTTAAATGAAGTTATTATTTTCATTTCCTCTTTTTTTCAGGATGCTAAGCCTTATCCAGTCGACCCATCTTATGCCGACCCACCACCTAGTGAAATAGATTTTTCAACTTGTAGTATAGTTAAAGCTGTTCAGTTTGGCGTCACTAAACGAATTATTGAATTAATAGAACCGTCAGACCCACAAGTTGCGGGTTATGATGTCAATCAACTTGATGATGAGGATGTTTCACTGTTGCATTGGGCAGCTATAAACAACCGTTTAGCTATTGCCCGTTACCTTCTATCCAAAGGGGCGCAAATAGACAGACCTGGTGGTCGTCTTGCTGCAACGCCATTACACTGGGCTATTAGACAATCTCACTTAAGCATGGTACATTTCCTAATGCAGAGAGGAGCTGACCCAACACTCATGGACAACACAGGATTAGCATGCATTCATGTCGCAATACAAATGGGAAACATTCCAATTATTGTGTACCTTCTTTCGCACGGCGTTAATGTAGATGTGTAAGTATTCGTGTAATCGCTAAAATTTGTTTGTGTGGCAATTACAAGTAATTTTTATTTTAATAGACTTGATCGTAAGTCTTTAAAAGAGTACTCAAAAGAAAAACTTGTTGCTCGTGACACAATTCCAGAGCAATTAGCATTGTACTATTATATTACTCTGGTATTTTAAATAAGGTTATCTAATGTGGAATTATAATTGTGAAAGACCAGTAGAGATGTGTCGTATCTGTTGTTCAGTGTAGCTATATTTGTGTTCTAGGCCATCAGTGGTATTGGGACGATCAGTTCCGTATAGGTTATCTCTCATATATTCCAATCGGCTACCTTACGAATGACCGCCAGTTCGCTCTGTTCTCCTTTATGGCTGTGAGACAAGGCTATTGGAAGTGGAAGAAAGAAAACGGCTAGCTGTCTTTGATCATAGGTGTCTGCGTTCTATCTCCCGGGTGAAGTGGTATAATAAGGTGAGCAATATTGAGATTAGGCTTCCTTCAAGTGCTAGGTAAGCAGGGGAAATCAGTCGACGAGATTGTGAAGTTACACCGATTGAGATGGTTAGGACATATGTTACACATGCCTAGCCATCTCCTTCCTCGACCGACGGGCAATGTTAGCTGACATAGGATGGATCAGGTTGGTAAACAGCTAGCCAATGGTGGTCAAACCGAAACATGGCTTCACCAGTCAATAAAATCCATAACAGTTAATTTAAGCCACGTAGAAATATGCAGACTTCCTGACTAGTTGGGTTCATCGGAATGGTAAAAACCAATGAAGGCTGGAGACAATTAGCGATATGGCTCGAAATCCTCGTTCTGAATGCACAGTGCAGACGCATTCACTCTTTGTGATTTATTTATCGTATTCAATAAAAATCTACTGTGCTTCCATATTACTATTCTTTTTCCCTCACTGACACTTCTATTTATTATCTCTCTTTTGAGTGTCTCTTTATTCTTTTCTCTTGGTTTGTGTGCTACAAGGATGGGGTGTGGCAAGTGGAACTGTTGCACAGCTGTGCAAAGTTCTGCGTTGAAACCAGTCAGTCAGTCTATGAAAGTATTACAAGGAAAGCACTTTGTGTTGAGGGTGCCATTGGAACCCATAAAAAACATGTAAAAGCTTGTGGAGACTTGTCATTTGAACTGACGACAACCTATGACGTCCACCATTACTGTTTCGAATTCAATGTACAAATGCTGATAAGAGTAGCTGTTTGATAATTTACATCTCTTAGAAAGAATGACTGGTTTCCAAGGAAGGGTTTCGTTGGTCAAAAGTGCATAGACAATATTGTTTCTTAGAATTCAGTTACCCGGTACCACGTAACCAGGAGCCACAATTATTGTGCGGAGGCTGATGATTCTTCTCAATATCTCTTGCTGAAATATATGGAGGAAAATCGGGACCGGGAGACGCATTGCCTGGGAATTGAGTACTTACGCCATTGAGCCACATCTGCATACGATATTTCCGACGAAGTGCAAAGACTTTTGAACACGTTGAACAAAGATTTGAATGTTTTCAGCCTGTTCTTACCTGTTAAATATAAGATCAAGTTATGGGACTGATGTCCACTAACTCAGTTTAGAGATATTTTATTTTTTCCTTCACGTGTCCCAGTGGACAATAGGGCTTCAATCTAGTGGCTTGAAGTTTTTGTAGCTGTGTTTATTTTACAGGATGGGGTTGCTAGCCTCATGCTCAACCTTTCCTCTTCACCAGCATTATTTCTGGCTTAGCAAGGTAAAGAAGTGCGTCGACCGGGAACCGAACCCCGGACCATGTGCATGGTCGACGAGCATCCTAACCGCTATGCCACCGACGCACGTTTAGAAATATGGAGTAAAATAATCGAGTGTCATTAGATCAGGTGGAATTTCATCAGTCTAGATGGTTAGGACATTGATTACACAAGCCAAGTCACCGACTTCCATTATTCGTATTAATGGCTGAAGTGGAGTCAGTTTTCAGAAAGTTCTGGTTAGTCAAACAAAAACCCGTAGCAATCTATAATGTCGGTGATCGTTAGTTTGAGACGTGTAGTTAGGCACAGATTGCTTGTTCTGGATTGTCAAGATGGTAAGGATTGCTGGTCTTCGACTGTGTAGCATTCTATTTCCTCCTTTCATCCTTCAGACTGAAGTTCTTCACTCATCTTCATTAAGTTATCCACCCATGTCTACTGTGGTGTAGACATTCTTTTGTGTGCTTTTCCTAAATTTCATGACATGAACTAATTTACTTTCATACAGATTTCTGCGTTGATTCGCTAGTTAGTCAGCTAATAATACATTAGAATTCATCGTTTTAGCTCGTGAAATAAGTACATATTCACCTCTGATGGGATTGTAAATAATCCAAACTGAAATTGTTTATATATATTTCACAGCACGTGACGTATAAGTGTTGTTTGCACCAGTCCATCTCGTCTTAAATTATTCCCTTGGTAAAATATCCAAATACCCATACCATATCCAGTTGTTTTCATGACATTGTGGCTTAGAAGAATTTCTGAGGATAAAGTTTCTTAAAGCATTATTAAACTATTCAAGTAGATATTTTTAAAGAGTATTTTGAGTCATGTTCTAAACTTCAAAGGATGAAAAGACACGCAAGGAAGTAATGTTACCCGAATTGCATAACAATGAGTATCTAGGTTTAAGATGTTCACTGAAACACTGATGAGGAGTATAACTTCTGCGCATACCAATAGTATTCCCCAGACAAAGATATGTTGATAATGGTTACTTATTCATATAAGGAGGAGGAGTTTAATTTTTTAAAAAAAAACAGTGCTTGTTGTTAGTTAGTGGGGCTGTAGATATATTGCATCGTTGTTAAATATCCTGTTTTCTTAACAATATTTCTATTCTAATTTCCATTTTTATACTTTCGTCGTCTTGTATTCATCATCTGTCTTATCTGACTGTACTGATTGATTTAAGCTATAAGAAAGAAATCTATTATCTCCTAATTATCTCCTTGACTGGGTCTCATTTACGCGTTCTAGGCAAGTATTGTTGAAATTCAAAAGTGCTTTCCTGTGTTTATTAATTATTAATTATTATTACTAGGTCAATTTACCGAAAGCCGACATGGAATGAACCAGATTCTATACTGGAATTATAAAACGAATAAAGCCTTTATTGCGGGCCCTCAATATTCTCACTTGATCGGTGAATGTTTGATTAACTCATAAACACTACAGGACAATACCTGCATTTTAATAGTTTTTGTCCCAATAGCTTTAAACGAGCAGTAATCAAGATTCTGTACTATAGAGCTAGGAGAAATTAGCGGAAGAATTTTATGTTTCTCGGAAAGCTGTTGGAAAGCAACGGTTACACTCAAAGGTTGATTAACTAGTAAGGAAGTTGTTAAGGCTGAAATGTCAAACAAATCACAGTGTGGAAAAAGGACTACTTTCAGTCAACTTGATTTTAAGGATGAAAATATGACAGCACTTGTCTACAGAAGTTTGAGGACGTCACTAACCAGAGCCTATCCTGCAGCTAAGTTGGTTCCCGTCTATCGAACAACATGCTGTTTGTTGCAATCGAAAGCCGACGTATACCCTTCTCGTGTAAACTCCGACTGCGTACACAAATTTACATGTATCTGCGCGAACATTTACATTGGAGAAACAGAAAGAATGGCATACCTCCGATTTTCCGAACATGTACCAAAAAGGCTACGTTTCAAGGGAACAAACTCTTATAATAGTGCTATTACCAGACATCTCCTTGATACGGGTCATGACGTGGAAATTGCGAAATCCTTTAAAGTTATCAATGTACAAAGGAGCTTGATTCTCGTCAAGTTTGCCGAAACGATTTCTATCAAACGCTTGAAACCCGATTTATGCGCTCAGAAAGATGCAGTTATCAGTCTCTGCCTTGTCCTACCTGGTAACTGGATGTCTTCATTCTCTCTTTCATTTGATTACATAATCTTTGGCTGTGACTTCACCCCTTTAATATAGTGTAATCTTGCTTATCTCTTGTTTCTGTTATTTGAGTTGAACTCAGTAGATTGTTACCTTATTTATTAGTCACTCATCATCTTACACACCTCTCATCTTGATTACGTAATTCCTTTGCCATTGTATGCATACATTAACCTTGTCTAAACCTGAACTGCGTGTGTAAAAACTATATAAGCGTGATTTTCTGAACATTGTTCACTAATTCCAGGACCTCATGTCAACTGACATCATGTAAAATTTGCAAGTATGTTAAACTCGTTTCTGTACTTTTAATAATTTCTCTGGGCTGTACGCAGATGATGAGAAGCCAACGAACTAAGCAATGATGTCACCATATTATTCTGCACAAACCACTTTTGTTCTTGCTTTATTCGAATGTTTATTAATAATTCGAGCGGTTTAAATAACGTGAAATGAGTTGGGTTGTGTTGTGTTTTCCAAGAGTAAAGTGAGTCAATTATGAAGAAAATAAAAGACAGATCCAGCGAAGAAAATTTTCTTTATCGACAAAATCATCTTCAGAGGCTGTACAGTCGTATTTATACTTACCAAAAAATATATAGTGGTCTATTATTGAGTAATAGTTTGCTTTCACTGTAAGAATTAATTCACTATTATCACTCTCATATGTTCCCTGTTGTACATTTCCACACCCTCTTCACACTTGTCGAATTAACACTCAACTACCTTTATTCTGAGTCAATAGTAATTTTAACTTTATCAAATTTCTATCTTTGTTCCGTTGAGTACCACGTAATTTACAACTTTTAATTTTCACTTCTAAAACCACTTCTGAGTAATTATATCAATTATGTTACCCCCTATTACTCAATAATAGACCACAATACATTTTTGGTAAGTATAAATATGATTGTACAGCCTCTGAAGATGATTTCGTCGATAAAGAAGCATTTTCTTCGCTGGCTGAATCTGTCTTTTATTTTCTTCATGACTCAAGGGGTATTTTCGGTGATTTGAGTCAATTATGTTTACATCTGGATTTTATTCAAGAATTTTGGTAGTAGAACTTAGTGATAACTGCTTCTTTATGGTATAGTCCCTAGTAAAACTTATTGTATACAAATAAAAACTCAATTGTCTCATAAGCTGCATATATTACTTTACACACTCATAAGTGCAGGTGGATGTACACTTCCGGACTGGTTGGGGTCCTCGGGACAGTAAGCACCAATGTCTGGCGACAATTGCTGATATAGCTCAAAATCATCGTTTTCAATGGCTGTCGTGGATGCATCCACTCCTTGTGACTTACAGTACCCAATAACACTATATTGTTCTTCGATGCTACTATTCTTTTTGCCTCATATCTCTGTTTACTGTGTGTGTTGTTTATTTCTTTTTTACTTTCTTCTGTTTCTTTGCGTGCTACAAAGAGGGAGTGTGGTGGCTCGAACTGCTGCACATTGGTGCAAAGTTCTATATTGAAACCAGTCACACTTGGAAGTAAATTGTAACAGACTGATTGTTAAAAATGCACTTTCTCTCTCTCTCTCTCTCTATATATATATATATATATATATATATCGTATTCACTTCCCCATCTACAGTGTTACGCTAATCTGTTATCAGGATACATTGAAAGTGTAGATATATAACATGTTTTGTAAATAAGAAAAATCAAATTTTATGTTTTCACTATTCGTTCAACTGTTAACAATAGTAATCAACTTTCCAATTTATTATTTAAAAAAAAAATAGTCGTGATGCCAATGGACTCACTCCATTAATGATAGCCTGTATGCATGTACGATCAGTTGATATATTTCGCCTGTTAATCTCATGGGGTGCTGATCTCTATTTGACTGATCCACGCGGGAATACTGTAGCGCATTATGCTGTAAATTTTGCAAATTTTCAAGCTGTTATGCAATTGGACAAGGGTGGTGCTGATTGGAATGCAGTAAATGGTGAAGGCAAAGCGGCATATGAGGTAGGATTCCTTTTATTGTTGTTGTTGTTGTTGTCGTCTTTATATGTTGTCATTTATTGTTTTCAAATATACAAGAATAGTTTTAGCGCAAAATACTTTTAATGTTATGGACGCTTAGGTTTTCTTTTAAAAAAAAAATCCAACTTTACGTCACCTGTATAGAATTGGATAGTTTTAGAAAGAGTAGCGGTTTTGACTTACAAGTGTACATCTTAAGTACTTCGTAAAAATTCTGCATTCTCTAATCAATCATGGCCAAGTTAAACTTTAAGCACCACTGACTACCGATGGAGTGCGACCGCACCAATGACCTTGAAGTGCTCACTGAGCAAGTTAGTGAAACCTGGCAAATAATGTTGTCATCATCAATAAAATATGCTCATCGAAGTGCTGTGCTATGGCAAGTTTCAGCTTAGGTTTGGGTAAGATTAATTTACGCTTTAAGCCAAGGACGGGTTAAGGTTAGGTTAACTCTGTTGATATAAGAATAGAACTTGTGCACCGTGGTGGTAGAGTATAATTCCATTGTGGGTAAAATTTATTCTGATAAAGTCTCACAGTGTTATACAGTAATATTGACTGATGACCACGTTTCGAGCACAGTTCATTGCCCGGCCTCCTTCGGTGTTATCATTTGTCGAAAGTATGTGACTAGGCCATCTAATTTTTAGATAACTGTGGTTATTTAGTGTAGACATTGAACTTTCAGCAAGTGGAGTAATTCCATTTGTCAGTGTTTTGTGATCAGATGATGTCACCAACCATCATTGTCAGATACGTAAACATGATAAAGTAACAAGATGTTTTCAAGATGGAGTGAGAATAAACGTCTTGGTGCACTCTGTTCGGTGTTAAGTAGATAGTGACAGTACAGTATGTACTAATACTGGTGGTAAAAGACAAATGATAGGTGAAACAGTCTCTGAGAAAAATGCCACCATAATTAGCTTCCAGGATGGACGACTGGAACGTTGGAGAGAACACTCTGAGAAGCAGTTTAATTGGCCTACAGCCACGCTCAACTTACCCAGCATCCAACACCTCCGTAAATGGGATATAGACACAGGTCCTCCATCCCTAACTGAGGTTACAAAAGCTGTAACTAGTCTGAAACAAGGTAAAGCAGAGGCACCTGACTGAATGACTCCACGTACAGCGGAAACAGTCTTCTGTCTGCCTTAACTAAGGTGTTAAGCAGCGTCTGAGAATCAGAGGAAGTCCCGTCGGGTCGGTCTAAGTCTCTGATTATCCCGATATACAAGAAGGGAGACAAGTCTTCCTGTGATACTCACAGGGGGATTAGCTTGACCAATGTGGTAGCTAAAGTTCTAGGCTCAATATTCATGCGTAGACTAAGCGGTTCACAGAAGGAACAAACATGAGAAAACCAAGCAGGCTTTAGACCAGGAAGAGTGTGTATTGATCGTATCTTCATCCTTCAACAGATTCTTGAACCGTCAGCATCCAACAATCGTCATATATCTTGACCTGAAGGCGGCATTTGATTCTATCGACTGAGAGGTGATATGGCGATGCTTGGCTGTAAAAGGAATACCAAGAAAGTGCATTGCACTGATCAAGGCACTCTACTCGAACCCATGCAGTAAGCCAGGTGAGAGCTTACGGCGAGTTGTCATCTGAACTGGCGATAACTAGTGGTGTCCGACTATCCCCATTTCCATTCAGTTTCATCATAGAGGTACTAATGGACTGAATCCTAACTCACTGCGGCGACTGAGGGGTTGACTTTGATCTCTTCTCTTGCTTTGTGTGCTACAAGGATGGAGTGTGTCAACTGGAACTGCTGCACACCTGTGTAAAGTTCTGCGTTGAAACCAGTCAGTCATCTGTCTTTCTGCTTTTGACACAGAACTTTGCACCGATGTGCGGTGGTTCAAGTCGCCACACTCCATGTAGCACACAAAGCAAAAGAAGAAGGTAGAAGAAATGCATATTAGAGACAGAAGACAGGTCAGTCAGTCATACGATTTTGTATAGTTAAAATCAAAGCATTTTTGTATATTTAAGGGAAATCACTAGTCCATGATGAAGTGCATTATGCGTGAGACCGTTGGGAGTGAGAAGGTAAGAAATTTGTGACCTTCGGATTATTATAAGGCAAGAAATTAGCCAACAAATTGTAATTGGCAATGAGGATTTCACCACAGTCATACTGCTTAATCGTAGGTGAAATCAGCGAATCGAATATCTTGGTACTTTATGCCTATTAATAAGAACTGTATTGACTGTGCTGCTGTCCAGTTGCATTTTTAATAGTTACAGACTGGATGTCTTTGAATTACTATGCTCACGAAGCAATATAAATGGGCTGCAAAAATATAAATCTCATATTTAATAGTCCTTATATTTATTTAATCCCTCTAACCAACAAAAGTGTTTTGTTGGTTTCTCGACCGATAGCTGCTACCTTGACGTGGTGGTCGGGCTTACATATCGCAGTGACCCAACGAACTACTCTGGGTGGTACTATTCCTCCTGCAGGTCCTACCATGCCAGGAAGTTTGTTAGGATAGCGATTAGACTAAAAGCAGTTACCGGCATTGTGTAAGGATTTTTTTCACACTTATGCTGCGGGTCTATGGGCGATTTCTTACTTCTGGGGAACAGGGTTATAACAGCAGTGAGGTGTTTCTCTCAGATGACTGGCATGCCAGCCAGCTATGTTGTCTCTCCACTCTGGAGGAAGGGGGTTAGAAAAGATCGACCCCAACAATTGTGCATCCCACCTTACCCTACGGTGGTCCGTAACCGGCAGTAAGTTTACTAATACGGAGCCAATCCCAGAAACCAGTTGATACAGGCTGTGCGTGACCGGCCTCAAGCAGTTGTCCTCTGTGCTCTGCGGTCATGTAACACTAACCCTCTTTCTGTTTCAGGTACCCAAAGATTCAACCAACTTCCACGGTGTGGGCAGCCGGGAAGTAACAACCGCCCACACACACTTCCAAAAGCACACGAAGCCTTCCTGAGACAAAAGTGTTTACCTACTCATTACAAGTTATATTTGTTTAGTCGGCTGGTGTAAAATACTTTCCTTACAGCTAAAAGTGTGTTGTTTTTGTCTTGTTTCCTTTTTTTCTTCTTAAATACTAATTTTTATTTTTATAGGTTCGTACAGTCCCTTGGTTAACCGATAGAGTGAAACAAATGGCAACTGGACAGCAGATGATGACTTCATCGAATCGTTTATCCCGTCTAGGTTGTTCTATGCTGCATCATTCACCTATATGGCGTCAAAGGATAACCGTTTCACTTCCGCCTATTGTTCTACTCATTTTTTGTCTTCTTTTCAGCTGGGATATAACATCCACTGTATATCGTTTGAATCTTGTTGAAGAGTCTTCACATATTTCATTATGGATAATTTATTTGATAAAATTTATCCTATTCCTTTCAGTATCATTTACAACACGTTTTATTGTCGACAGATTTTCGGATCATAAATCACAGGTAGGCACATTATTATTATTATTATTAATAATGCCAAAATAAATTTGATAATTTATGGTGTTTATTTTTACGAGATGGGGGCTTGTGAGCCTCATGCCCAAACTTCCCTCTCCACCAGTCTTATTATACTTAGCTTAGCGAGGTAAATGAGTGAGGGCATCGGTCGGGGATCGAACCCCGAACAACATGAAGCGTGGTTGGCGAGTGTACTACCCCTGTGCCACCGACACACAATTATGCATTTTGGATGACTGTAATGGTTAATAAATGTACTACAGATATATTTTAAGGATGTAAGGTCGACATGTTGTGATTCAGTGTTTATGTGATGTATGAACTAGACATCTGAACCTAACATGGACGACTATGGGTCACATTATTATTATTATTTTATTATTGGCGCAGGGTATCCAATGAGAACAATGTTTGTTAATATGTCTTAAACTTGTAATTTTTTCGTTGTGTATAATAGGTGAACAATTAAATGTATTTTTGAGTCGTATTGCCTTAAATGAAGGCACAAATCTTTGCTTTCTCAGTCAGTCTTCTGTCTTCCGCAGTGTAAGAACAGTAGTCAAGTGATCGTTCATATATATATATATATATATATATATATATATTGACGTGCTTTGAAGCAACAGTACAAGTACCCAAATCCAGTATTATCCCGAGTTGTGGTGTTTCGAAGACGAGAATGGGATTCATCTCAAGGACTACATATGGTCATCGTGTTTTTGCACCGAATTTTGGCTAAGTCAATTCTGGCGCAGTCGAAGAACGGTATTGTTGACTACTATGCTGAGCTGAAATGTGCGGTAGACAAAATAGTAACACTAAAAAGGACATGAGGGTTTAATATTTCTGAGTAATTACACAGTGAATGTCTCTAAACCACTGATGACAACTTCGAGCCATATCACCAATAGTCTTAGGTCAATGGTTCTTAGCATTCCGAAGCGTCCATCCAGGAGGCCTACACCTCTCTACGTGGTCCAAGCCACTCGTCAAAGATTTCATGGACTAATGGCAGGTTTTGGTTTCACCACAACTAGCTCTTTTCCAACTTAATCCAGTATTGACTGACGTTGCCTGTCGAGGAAGGCGATGGCTTAGGGGGTTGAACACATTTCCTAGACACTTCAATCCATACAGCCTGAAAACCTCATCAATTGGCTTTCCCTCCTTACCCAACACTACACGCATGACTTCAATATTACTCACCTATGATCAAAGATACTTAGCCGGGCTTTTCATGTCTTCCACATTCTATGACCATGTCTCACAGCCATAGTGGAGGATGCAGCGAGCTACTGCTCCGTCCTGCTGCACATCTGTCTGTGTGCATTCGACATAGAACTTTGCACATATGTGCGGCAGTTCACGTTGCCACACTCCATGTAGCACACACAAAGCAAGAGAAGAAAGTAGGAGAAATGCATATTAGAGACAGTAAACAGAGGTGTGAGACAAAGGAATAGTAGTAACGAAGAACAACATAGTTTCATTGGAAATCATAAGTCACAAGGAGTGGATGCATCTGGGCCATTGAGAACGAGGATTTTGAGCCATATCACCAATTGTTTCCAGCCATTGGTTTTTACCGTCCTGAGGACCCCAACCAGGAAGTCTACACCTTCCTACGTGACCGGCTTAAACTAACTGTTGTTGATTTCATTGACTGATGCCATGTTTTGGTTTGACCGTCGCTACCTCTTTTCCAGCCTGACCAATCCTATGTCAGCTAACATTTCCCGTCGGTCGAAGAAGGAGATGGCTAGGCATACGTAACACATGTTCTTACCATCTCAATCGATGTAGCTTCACAGTCTCGTCGATTGATTCCCCCCTAGCCTAACCTCAGTATTGCTCACCCTACTGTACCACTTCACACGGGAGATAGGACGCAGACACCTATGATCAAAGACAGCTAATCTTTTCATGTCTTCCATTCTCAGTGGCCAGGTCTCACAGCCATAAAGGAAGATGGAGCGGACTGATGAGCAGTTCACCGGCCCTTTGGTCGATAGTCGGATATCACGTCTACGCCAGAGATGGCGTAAACTCGCATTTGCGAAACTAGCCCTCTGTATTCGTGCTGAGATTTCGTCAGAGATCAACCCGTTGGCACTGGCTGATGGTAATTCCCAAATAAGTGAAGCGGTCAGCGTGCTCTACCACTTCACTCTCTGTTTCTAAACTAGGAGTCAGTGTAGTCCAATCCTGTAACATCATCTTGCATTTGGCGGGAGCGAATCGCACGAAGCCTTCCTGCTGCACGTTCTTTGACCGATAGCTGGATATCACGTCTACGTCAGAGATGATGTGTGTTGGTAGATATACCACATTAGACTCTTGTATACGTTCTGAGATTTTGTCAGCATTAACTCCGTTTAGGGCTAATGCAACTTCCCGAATAAATGAAGTAGTCGACACGTTGTATCACTTCACTCACTCCCTAATTCTACGCTGTGAGTAGTCGATGTAGTCCAGTCAGTTCTGTAGCATCATCATCATCATCATCATCATCTTGTTTATGAGAGAAGTAAAATCACTTGCCACAGATTTGAAGATTTCTGTTCAAGGTGTTCAGAAGACTGCAGTTTGTCAGCATCTTCATTTAGAAGGATTATATTATCTGCATACTCTAAATCAACAAGATTGTTCGCCGAGATTCAAATAATGCAGATTTTAATTACTACATAGTTGAATATTTTGCCAAGTGTCGACTTTGATATGGATTTCCTGCATTTTTTTTAACTAGAATTCCTCGCCTATCAGTTAGCGTTCCCCCGAATGAAACATTTTTCTTTGTGTATTTACCTATGTTACAAACTTGTTATGCCACTGCTGATTGTGCTATTCAATTGTGCAGGCTAAATTAGGTGGAGTAGGATTCGAATACGGGACTCATCAGCCTTGAAGTCTAGTGTTTAGGCCAATTGTGAGCTATGCCAGTAGCACTCACACTGAAGCGAATTTAAAAACATACTTATAGATGATATTGAAAGGTAGTGTGTCGTCATGGCAAAATCTGACAGAAGTTCGAAATCTGGTACCTTTGGATTCTGATATAGCATCTGAATATTGACGTGTCTCCCTAGTCACTTGATGAGTCTGAAGTCCTCTTTTAGAGAGAGTCGTTTAGGCGTACTGGCTGAGAATCCCACATGATCACGAAATGGCCCTGGACTGGTATTTAGTTGCTAATTATTCTTTTGACGTATCAATTCGTGACAAGATTAAATATGAAATTGGTGAAACTCTTGCAGGCTGAACAGTCTAACAAAGCAGCGTGCAAATAAATACATCACAAGGAAAAGTAACTGAAGCATACGCATGCGCTTTTATCTCCCATGTATGAACTAACTATGACTGTTCTTCCTATAATCTATATCAGGTGCTATCTTCCGCTCTCCATGTTAAGGCATTGAAGGTTCTAGGAAGTTTGTTTCCTCTAAAATATTCTATATTTTATAATAATTAATAATAATAATAGTTCATGATTGAAGAGATATCTGTCTTAATGCTGGCCTATTTGTGTATACCTTTACATTTTAACAGGCCACTATGCTGTTCAGTCTAGCGACAAGTACAACACTACTCCTAACTGTTACTTATTTATTCTATATCACTTTACGCACACCCGACCATTGGATATTGCATTTCTGGTTTCTATTTTTTATCACTCTACTATGGACTTCCTTCATTCTATGTTGTACAAAAGATCCTGGTTATGTGAGTGATGTCAGCAAGGAATCACAACAGAAGACTATCCTTCAACTGCTCGAAGAAGCATTAGCTTTTTCACCAAATGATTTAAACTTGACCAATGATGAGGATTATGTACAAAAGGCACCGTCACCACCTCCTGTTAATCCACTGCAAAGATTCTGTACAACTTGTTTTATTCGTAAACCATTAAGGTCGAAGCATTGTGCAACATGTGATCGGTGTGTTGCAAGGTTTGATCACCACTGTCCATGGATATGTAATTGTGTTGGAATGCAGAATCACTTTTACTTTATTGTCTATCTATTCTCTACGAGTATTTCTTGTGGTTTATTTATGCTGGGTACAATTACCTACTGGCAAAGTGAGTTCACTTGTCTACCCTATTGGTCGAGTAGCAAGACTGCTGTGGAATCTGGTAAGTTCATATGGTGTTATTTTGACATGCGTTTATGCGTTACATATTATCTATAAATGAAAGATTTAATAGTCTTACACGTATACTTCCTTACTATTGACGTGATGTTCTTTGGCAATGTCCCGACCGAAAGCTGCTACCTTGACGTGGTGGTCGGGCTTGAACACCGCAATGATCCAACAAGATATACTGGCTGAGACTTATGTCGCTTGAGGTCCTACCATGCCAGAAAGATTGTTTGGATAGTGGTTAGACAAAATGCAGTTACCCAATCCAATTACTATGACCCAAACAAAATCACAAAATATCATGCCGGGTCGGTCGGGGCCCGGATTAACAACGACCGCGCTTCCTGCTGCCGTGTCACAGGGCAGAAGTGATAAATATGCTACTGAGACACACCAAATGAAAAACAACAAGTGAAAACAGGCCGCGTGTGATCGGCCTCAAGCAGTTGTCCCCTGGGCTCTGTGGTCGCTCAACCAACTTCCACGGTGTGGGTAGCCGGGAAGTAACAATCGCCCTCACAAATCCGAAATGCACGCGAAACCTCTCTATCTTTGGCAATGTCGTATCTGTGACTTTGCAATCTAAACTTTCTGATTATACTAGTAAAGAATACCTGTTTGGATTTTAAAAGATGTATACATCCTCTTGATGTATCATGTTGGTTCACCTGACTTAGACGAGATTCTCTACCTTATTAGGTTTCGGTAAATTGTTGAGGAAAAACTCACAATTCTGATATTCATAAGATTAAGAACAGGAGTTGGACGACTGAGTGAGTGAGTGATTGTAGGAAAGTCAAAATCCTTACCAGCCTTCTTGTATGGATCATTCACAACAATTATTTAAATGTTCCATGATTTCATATTAGATGATTGTTGCATTTGGAGCGGAATAACATAGTTGTTTGGCAACTAGCATGTACAACCCGCCCCCCCCCCACCCTCCACTGATTTCGACTCGTCCATGTTATGCTTAATATGTGAATGAATTCCTCTTCAGTAGCTTTTGTTTCCTATTACTTTGTTCCGATTTGAAAACTAAAATCAATAGTCTTTTATTATTCCTAAGTCACGATGACATTCTCTGTACTTCCTGTTCTGATTGACTGTTTTTTTTTTGTTTTTTGAAAGGTTGGAAGTTGGTTTCCTGTTTTTAATCTATAATAATTCCATTGGCAAAATTTTTTAAGTGACTATAGATATTTTACTTGTACTCAGAATTTCGGTTATTTTTCATAAAACGATTGGATGGTCGGTCGGTCGGTTTTCGACATAGAACTTTGCACATATGTGCGGCAGTTCACGTTGCCACACTCCATGTAGCACACACAAAGCAAGAGAAGAAAGTAGGAGAAATGCATATTAGAGACAGTAAACAGAGGTGTGAGACAAAGGAATAGTAGTAACGAAGAACAACATAGTTTCATTGGAAATCATAAGTCACAAGGAGTGGATGCATCTGGGCCATTGAGAACGAGGATTTTGAGCCATATCACCAATTGTTTCCAGCCATTGGTGTTTTCCGTCCCGAGGATCCCAACCAGGAAGTCTACACCTTCCTACGTGACCGGCTTAAACTAACTGTTGTTGATTTCATTGACTGATGCCATGTTTTGGTTTGACCACCATTGGCTAGCTGTTTACCAACCTGATCAATCCTATGTCGGTCGAAAAAGGAGATGGCTAGGCATGCGTAACACATGTCCTAACCATCTCAATCGGTGTAACTTCACAATCTCATCGACTGATTTCCCCTGCTTACCTAGCACTCGAAGGAGACCTAATCTCAATGTTGCTCACTCTATTATACCACTTCACACGGGAGATCGGACGCAGACACCTGTGATCAACGACAGCTAGCCTTTTTCTTTCTTCCACTTTCAATAGCCTTGTCTCACAGCCATAAAAGAGGATGGAGCGAACTGTGCTGCTGAGGATTACACACGGCGTCCAGTCGACAGCCAGCCGGATATCACGTCTGCTAGAGCAGAGATGACGTGAGTTGGCATTTGCGAAACGAGCTTTCTGCATCCGTCGTGAGATTTCGTCAGCGATCAACCTGTTGAAGCTGATGCACACGATCTGTGAGCTACTTTATACCGATGTTCAAAGTTTTCATCTGTTACTCTCAGCTCTTAGTACTTAGACTCTAGTAAAAGTAAACAGTCTCCTTGTGTCTTCTCCTTTTTGGGTAGTTAAATAGAGTGAAAGCTGTTTTTCTATAGCAGTAGGTCAGAGTGTGGTTAGGACATTTTTATGATGAAGATTAAAGGATTGAGTGGTGAAGTATTTCCTTTTCCAATTAGATCTTCATCTATTACTCTACGCTAATAATACTCATAGCATTTTCATTATAATATAAAAAAAATTTTACCAATTCAGTGGCGATATGTTTGTTAACAATAAAATTAATAAATATCAGCATTTTAGTGGGGGAACCAGAAAAATTAATGCAAACAGTTAAAGGGTGGATAATAATAATAATAATAATAATAATAATAGGAACAACTTTATTCTGAAACAGTATTTATGTAATATACAGAATTTTCAGCGGAGTCTCTTGCGTGATATTTGATCCATATTTTCATCCATGACCTTCAACTGAAAGACTAAATGATAGTAGGTCATGTGACAGAGTGCTTACATGACCTGAAGCGCAAACCAATCCATTATGATATCTCTTTTTCTTCCCTTTGGGGAATACAAAACACTTGGCTGAATGCCAATTACAACAGGTTTAGGAGTACATTTTGTGAACCAAGGATACCATTCAGGAACGGTCATCTCATTAGGATAAACTGCTACCGGGGATAATGCTTTTTCTCATGGTTAGCAGTAAATTACAAACCAGCGCGTCGCAAATGTTTGAAATACTCGAAAACAGAAGAGACTATATGCAGAGTATATTGGTGGAGATTAGATGGCCGGAAAGAATAACCAACAAGAGACTATGGGAACAAACGAAACAGGAACCAATCGCCCAACAAATATGCAGGAGGAAGTGGAGATGGATTGGACACTCGCTGAGGAGGCCGTTGAGTGACATCGCGCGTCAGGCCATCACTCGAGTGGAACCCGAAAGGGAAGCGGCGAGTGGGACGTCCAAGGGTGACATTGAGTAGATCGTGTGAAGAAGAGTTGAAACAGTATGGAATAACATGGATGCAAGTGAAAAGTACAGCACAAGAGAGTGCAGTTGAAGCCCTATGTTCCACTAGGAACCCAAGGGAACAATAATAAATATATATTGGTGGAGGTTTTCGGTAACCGCCATTTCTAGGAAAAATAAGGAGTAGTCAAAGAACAAGTGTGTTTCCAAGTCGATTGCTTAATAAGCAAATAAAAATGTGAAGGAGTCAGAAGAAAAGAAAATAATTTGAACAATGATAACTTAAAAAAAGGTTTAGGGGCATGGGGGAATTGTCGGTGTTGACATTCATGTAACGATGAACAAGGTAAGGAGAAAGTGGCTGCATGAATTTCTTCTTAACACGTAGACTTAACTTCTTCAGGTGGATTCTTATAGTTTCAGCTGTATGTAGAAGGTGAACTCGTGTAGCGAAATTAATATTAGTCAGAATACGGTAATGGTTTGACCACCACTGGCTCTTTTCCAACCTGACTGATCCTATGTCAGCTAACATTGCCCATCGAGAAAGGCGATGGCTAGGCATGCGTAAGACATGTCCTAACCATCGCAATCGAGGTTTTTTTTGATTACAGCTTGATTCCACACCATATTTTTTGGTAAAGGTATGGAATTTTCAGCATGTGATATCGGTCGCGCAAATTTTGCAGGCCGACCATAGATATCAAGTGTGCGTCGGCAGGGGATCGAACCCCGGACCATGTGCATGATTGGCAACAGTCATAACCACTGTGCCACCAACGCACAAGCATAGTGCGTCGGCCGGGAAGTTACATCGATTGAGATGCTTAGGACATGTGTTACGCTGGACATGAGGCCATAGCAACCCCCCATCCCGTAAAAAATAACACCACTGTTATTGAAGCTTTTGAATCCTCGCTGTATTCCCCTGGGCAAAGCTAAACAATAAAAACACAAAACGCTCCAGATCAGGAAGTTAGTCATTCTGAATAAAATTTTATTTTACCGTAAAAATATCCCTACTGTGTTAGTATAATTATTTTTAAGTGTGTTTTTAATCTGCTTTTTGTTATACCAATTTTTTTTCTTTTTCTAAAGATCCAACCAGTTCAATAGTAGCGCGTATATCATGTAATCCATGGGTCACATTCTGTTTTGTCAATGCAGCTTTCTATTGTTTTTGGACAACTTTATTATTCGGTTCACATGTATATCAGATGATTTGGTTAAATGCTACTACAAATGAACGTATCAACATAGATCGATATGTTGAGTTTTCTGGCGGTTTAAATTTATCCAATAATTCAAACACTTCGAAATCGGTAACAGCGAATAATATGACACCATTATCATCATCAGCAACAACAAAATATAGTCGACCATATGATCATGGTGTATGGCGTAATCTGCTGGATTTAATTGGTCTACCAGGCTTTATTGTAAATTCAAACAAAAGAGTTGATTGGCGGGAAATATATCAAATTGAACAAATCAACTCAAAATCAAATGGATTTTTTTAAATTTAGGAAGTACTACTTACTCACACCACAGGATTATTAATGAATTATATTTTCAAGTTGTAGTATGTGTGTGTGTTGCATTGTGTATTGTAAACTTTATGCGAAATATATATATATATATATATGCATGCTGAAATTGTACAGTTAACTTAACTATCTTATATTCTCTCCTTGAATGTTGGTTGATCTGTGTGTTTACACTTATTCTTATTCTCTAGAGGCGAGATATACTCTCAGCCTTCTTTATATATCAGAAATACCGGAAATTGTTTCTCCCCCCCCTGTGATATACAACTATCCGAATTTTGTACGGTGAAGTTACTGCATATATATATATATATATATATATATATATAGGGTACTACTCAATTTCTTTGTCCCTTTTTCCAATTCAAAATTGTCTTTATACCTTCCATCTTTTCTTAACGGCAAGAGTTTCTTTCATTACCATTGGTTATATATTCCCGTGCATACATACATATTGTGCAAGATATGGAAGCCTTTATCAGGGGTTAGAGGATAACAGCAATACTAATAGGGAAAACAATTATTTATTGAAACCGATACATATATATCTACCTTTCAATAAGTGAGTAAGTGGTTTTATATGTGTTACACTGAACATTTTACTTCCTATACTATCCCAATTCCTTTATGTTTATTCTCTTATTTTAATCCATAAACATTCCATTCTTACTGTTTACATTTCATCGGTGCGTGTGTGTGTGTGTGTAGATCTTCAGTTTCTGTGATTCCGTTATTCTATTCTTCCATGTCACAGTATACACACCTACCTTTGGGCGATTCTCTGTTGTTGTTGTTGCTGCTGCTGTCTTTTTCCCGTTCTTCGTTTTCTTCAAAAAATTAAAAAGAAAACAAAACAAAGAGAAACTGTTTACACTGTATAAAATTGTAGCGGTATATATGTAGGTAAACATAAATAGAGAGGAAATAATAAATTGTCCAGTTTCTGCTCATATACGATGGCCTGTGTTAGCCTGTGTTACCTACCATTCCCCCCGTATCTTACCTACCTTACTCACTATATATATTAATTAACTGAACGATTTGGTTATTATTTTCACTGTTCGTTTGTTGTATGTTAAATTTACCATTTTACAGTTAGACACACAAACACTCCCACACACACACACAGTTGACGTTTCTACTTTTTACTTGATTATGCTGACTGTGTAGTCTTTTATTTTAAAAATAGTTATATTAAATAAAGCCTTCACAATGAAATCTATTTCTGAGTTGATATGTATATATATATATATATATATATAATATAATATATATATACATAGAGAGTAGTGGTATTTCTACATACTATATGTATTACAACTGTTTTGATTGTTAATACAAATTCAGAGTCACATGCAACATGATATATGCATGATTTATTGTATTTCAATAAGCCTATATCAGTTTCAGGGGATGGATGGATGAATGGATGATATGAGAACACGGATTGCTTTTGTTGTCTGAAGCAAAAAAACCAACAAACAAACAGCAATTACCAGCTGGCATGTATATATACACACACACGCACTTATGCATTACAATTTCGATATAAGGCTTGGAAAGGCAGTTAATTATAAAAGCAATTTTTTCTTATCACTTTACTACTACTACTACTACTTACTCTGCTCATCAGTAGTATGTGAGCCCATGATCTCATGCGAAATCTAACCGCCAGGGCTGCTTACGTCGTCTTGTAAGTGAGCATTTTAATATTATTCAGTCATTAGAGAACTTCAACTTCGAACTTCTGTCGAATCATTGTATCGTGTCATTGTCCTTTAGTGTTATGAGTGAGTTGATTGTCTTCATACTCGATGAAGTCAAATCTAAATATCGAAACGCCTCACAAGAATCTGGGGAATTCCAGTCATTAGGATGTACTGAGTTACTGTGTTTTATTATTATTATGATCATTATTATATTATTCCCTTAGGTTCCGAGTGGAACGTAGGGCTTCAACAACACATCTCCACTGTGTTGTGCTGTCCACTTCAGCTGGCTCCTCCTAGGCACACGCTCTCTTCCATGTCACCCTGGCACCGAAGACACTCGTCGCTTCCCATTCAGATTCCACTCGAGGGAGTGTTCTCTTGGTTATCGTTTGAGTGACGAGGCCGGAGCTGATTACTGTTGATCCACTTGACAATTTTGCTAGTCCACATCCATTCGATCTGCTCTCACAGATTCCCAGCACTTCTATGCCATATTCTCTCGTTTTTTTTGGTTACCTGATCAACCTTCCCAGCCAGCTGCGTACATTGAACGGACATTCCATGTCCTCACTCTTATCCTTGTTTTCGGTGAGAGAGGATACATCAGTTGGCTGACCGGGTTCCTGAAGTTTTTCACCAACCCGACTTTCCTATATCAGTGAAGAATAATTCTGTTTTTCATGTTTTTTTTTATTTTTAATATTTTCATTGTGCTTTGAAGTTTCTGTAGCGGTTTGATTGGTTTTGTGGTGTAGCGTCACTAGTCCCACGCCTGACCCTTCATCTTTACCCGGGCTAACTACCGGCTAGAAAACTAGCAAGCTGGTAAAACTAGGCGAGTTACTATGGTAACGTGTGTCAATCATGCTTAATAATTAACTTTTTCAGTGAACTGAATATGAGGTCTCATTATGGATAGATAACTGTGTAGACACATCCATTATAGTTAGGGTGTTCTAACGATCCGCAGCTCTAGATAATGTCCCATAGTTATTCATTATTATCTAAGATATCACAGTGAATGCACACTTCCTCGTATATACTTCACTTAATTCTATGCTCGTTTTGTACCTTGACTACACAGTTGCTATTAATTTTGTGAATGATGACTAGCAGTGGAATCCAGAATGCGCATTCCCCCCCCCCCCTATTTGGGACTAGTTGTCAGCTGGATGTATAATTGGATTCCTCAGTAAGTGGTAGTGTTCCCACTGGGGCTCTCGAATTCAGTACCCATCGTTTCAAACGCTAAAGCAACGAGAACCAACTCTTATATACTATGTGTCAATCATTACTTCATTCAATTTGAACTTCCTCATTGTCACCATCTACCGGATTACTTCAAGTTAAATCCTCAGACATTATCGAAGCGCATCCACACAAGGAGCCAACAGAGGTTGAGCACTTCGGTGCAATCAATCGATGAAAAAGTCCTAATTGAATTAAATAACTTCGTGATTATTGTTGCTTTGTTATTTATGGATTCTTCAGTTTGATTTTTAAGTGTGTAACAGTGCTTAACAATTCCATATTGGTTTGTTTATTAGATATATCACACAGTGAGACAGTATTATGTAGCAATAAAAATAAATAGTGATAGTAATAATATTAATGACGACATGCATGTCAAATGTGCGCAAAACAACAACAACAATAAGGAATCTAAATCATCAGTAGTAATTCCATACAAGGAAGGAACCTCGGAAACCTTACGCAGAATTCTTAACAATGCTGGCAGGAATAAAAGTGGCTGGCATTCAAACCACCCACAAACTCAATTAGAAACAAGCTTTGTCGGTTAAAGGATCAGTGGTGTGGAGCCTTTAAAACAAAACAATTTAGTTTATTTCATACCCTGCTGGAATGATTGTCAGGTCAAACTAGTAGAACAGGGGCAGTCAGACTAGCCGAGGATAAAATCCTAGCAGCAAAATCTAGATTGGTTGACCCGATAAGATAAGAAATGTAGAGAATAGTTCAGCTATATCAGTCACTATATGCAGTTAGACACAACCATACAGTAGGATGGAGGAGATAAGATAACAGTTTTAAAACATAATGTAACAGGGTGGAGGGAGAGATTGATAACGGTAGCTTTGCTTATCGAATCAACTGAGAGAGAACACGTGTCCAGCCGGATATCTGGAAAATTCTATTACCCCAACAACTACAAATAGAAGAGAACAAAGAAAACTATAAAACTCAAGTTTCGAAGTCGTGTGGTTATAATTGATATGATTATGAACCACAATAAATTGTGTTCGAAACATTGTCATCCAGTAAATAATACTGTGTGATATATCCAATAAACAAACTAATATGGAATTACTTACTACCACAGTGCCCAAGTGTTTAACAAGAAATTTGTAATCAGTTAGCAGCATAGTAGATATTTCAAGATTGGTGTTCTCGAAATAGACAGCTCAGTATTCTAGTTACAGGTGTCTCTGATAGGCAACTTAGCTGCTGTAGACCTGAATATGATTTGAATACCTGAATTCATAGCAGTTTATTAAATAAGCATTCACCCTCTTGATCGAAAGCGAGGGTTTTGTGTAGTTGGACTAATCAAAAACTCAGGATAAGACATTCATACGTTCATAAGATCCTGATGCTGAACGACAATGCAAAAATCAGTGGAGTATAGTGTAGACAGAAGACATACAAAAAATGCAAAAGTGGAATATCTGTTGAAATGTAGATAATTCACACATCCAACTGCCTGTCAGTTCCAATTAACCAAGAGAAATAAAAGTTTATATTAATATATAGTCTTTTGACGTAGAATAATGCGAATAGACAATAGGAAAGAAAAATCGCATGACTGACTACTGAGATATGATTTGAACTACACTTCATTACCTCGTCTTTTTTTTAATCACTCCAAAAAATTTCAAAAAAAATATTCTTTTCTTTGAAATAATACTGCTGACTTGTGTTGATGTTACAGGACTGGACTATACTGGCTCCTAGTTTAGAAATAGGGAGTAAAGTGGTAGAGCACGTTGACCGCTTCACTTATTTGAGAAGTTGCATCAGCCAACGCCAACTGGTTGATCTCTGACGAAATCTCAGCACGAATACAGAGGGCTAGTTTCGCATATGTCAGTTTACGCCGTCTCTGGCGTATATGTATTATATATATATATATATATATATATATATATATACGGCTATCGACTAAAGGGCGGGTGTACTGCTCCGTCCTTTATGGCTGTGAGACTTGGCTATTGAGAGTGGAAGACATAATAAGACCAGCTGCCTGTCTTTGATCATAGGTGCCTGCGTTCTATCTCCTGAGTGAAGTGGTATAATAAGGTGAGCAATATTGAGGTTAGGCTTCGGTCAAGTGCTAGGTAAGGAGGGGAAATCAATTGACGAGGCTGTGAAATTACATCGACTGAGATGGTTAGGACATGTGTTACGTATGCCTAGCCATCTCCTTCTTCGACCGACGGGCAATGTTAGCTGACATAGGATTGGTCAGGCTGGAAAAAAGGTAGCGACGGTCAAACCAAAACATGGCATCAGTCAATGAAATCAACAACAGTTAGTTTAAGCCGGTCACGTAGGAAGGTGTAGACTTCCTGGTTGGGGTCCTCAGGACGGTAAAAACCAATGGCTGGAGACAATCGGTGACATGGCTCAAAATCCTCGTTCTCAATGGCCCAGATGCATCCACTGCTTGTGACTTATGATTTCCAATGAAACTATGTTGTTCTTCGTTACTACTATTCCTTTGTCTCACACCTCTGTTTACTGTCTCTAATATGCATTTCTCCTACTTTCTTCTCTTGCTTTGTGTGCTATATGGAGTGTGGCGACTTGAACTGCTGCACATATGTGCAAAGTTCTAGGTCGAAAACAGACAGCTGACTTGTGTTATAACAAAAGTAGGTTGAAATGAATGCAGTGGATTCTACTGACTGACTGGTTTCAGCCTTGAACTTTGTACAGAAGTGCAGCAGTCCAAGTTGTTATACACGCCGTGCAGCACACAAAGAAAGACAAAAAAGAGATTCGAAAGAACTACAGTAAGCGGAAATGTGAAGGAGGAAGATTTGTAACACTGAAAAACATTAGGGTTTATGGGATGTGGAATGTTGCGAAGTGGAAATGTGTCTGTGCCAATGACAGAAGGATTTTGAGCCATATCACTGATTGTCTCCAGCCATAGGCTATTAGAATCCTTAGGACCTCAGTACACTCGTGTGTGTGGCTGAAAGATTTGATCGACTGATTCCATGTTTTGGGTAGACTACCATTACATCTTTTTCAGCTTAATCCAATGTTGGCTAACATTGCCCGTCGGTCGAGGAAGGCGATGGCTAGTGACTTCAATCCATGTAACTTCATAACACTCCACACATAACCTCAATATTACTCACCCTATCATGCCAGCTTTGACGACAGATAGAGTTTAGACACCTATAATCAAAGACAGCTAGCC